GAACCGATGTGACTCGTAAAGGCGCTGGATACCTCAGCGTGAGGTTGGTGCATACGTCCACCGGGGTGTCTCCATTGAGACACATCGGCTGTGCAGTGACGCAGGCTGGCCTGAGCTAGCTGGGGCGGGGGGGGGGACTCCGATGCTTCGCTCGAAACCCTCGGCCCCCGGGGTCCGTCACGGATCGCTCGGGCCTGGAGGCTGCGGCAGGAAGACGGGCTCCAGGGGCCCCAGATTAGGAGTGGAAAAGGCACTCAGACCCAATTGGTCGTCGTCTCCCGGGAACATGTGGGAACACATGGGATGTGGGGGGGAAGACGAAACCGAGAAAATATGGGAAACGAGTGGGAATCCTGGGATTTGTGTCTATGTATGTGGATATATGTGTGTGTGTGTGTGTCAGGGCCCCTTTCAAGCAGAAGCAATACCACCAGCACCACCCACCACGACCACCACCACCACAACCACCACCACCGCCCACCCATCGCCACCGCCACCGCCACCGCCACCGCCACCGCCACCACCACGACCACTACCACCACCACCACCACCACCACCACCACCACCACCACCACCACCACCACCACCACCACCACCACCACCACCACCACCACCACCACCCACCACCACCCCACCACCACCACCACCACCACCACCACCACCACCACCACCACCACCACCACCACCACCACCACCACCACCACCACCACCACCACTACCCACCAATCGCCACCGCCACCGCCAACGCCACCACCACCACCACTACCACGCACCACCACCCGCCACCGCCGCCACCGCCGTCATCGCCACCGCCACCGCCACCGCCACCAGGGGGGCCACCTCCAGCGAGGAGGTCCACGATGTCCCTCCGCGCTGGGCATAGTTGGGGTACGTCTCGAGCGAACCAGGATTAAGTCGGGCCTGTCCCTCTACAGGAGGAATATTCAAAACTTAGCAAATGTCTGGGGAAGTCTCGGAGGGTGTCCTCAGAAGGAGGTTGCTTCTTGGAAGGCGCGGGCCTTCTCTACAGATGTCGGGCCCGCGCCGTCTAAGACACAGCCTCCGTCTAAGAAGCCTTCCCCCTCCCCCTCCCCTTAAGTCGGGCCTGTCCCTCTACAGGAGGAATATTCCAAGATAGTCAAAAATAGTCTGGGGACGATTTCTTGATTATTTCTTGACCATTTTGGAGGTTTGTTTGACTATTTCTAATTTTTCGTCCAAAATCCGCCTGTAGGGGGACATGCCCGATCTAACCCCACCCCCCTTCTGCGCGCCGCCAATTTCAGGCAACTCGATGGGCGGCGGGGGTAGGGCTCGGAATTCATCGAAGACGTGGCGAAATCCGAACCCTACCCCCAGCCCCCATCGAGTCAGGATAATCGATGGTTTGTGCGGTAGGGTTCTGTTGTCGCCACCTATTCGGGACGAACGCCGGTCGACTCGGGAGGAACAACCGTTCCCCGGGTAGGGGTCTCCAGGCCTTTGGGCGTCCACGCTAGGAGCACAAACGCGGCGTCGGTGTTATGGGCTGGGAGGCTCCCAGAGCCTTTTCAAGGCCCCCCTCGCTGCGTGAAAGAAACGCTGCCCTTGATATCCTCGCGTCTTCGGTAGCAAGTCATGGGAGCCTTGTGTACCCTCTTGATTCCGTCATTAGCGTAGAAATAGCGTCACTTCATGTAGTCGATGGGATAGCGCCTATCTAGCGTTGGTTAATGGCGATTAGCGTCGAATTAGCGTCGATTAGCGTCGACTAGCGTCGATTAGCGTCGATTAGCGTCGATCCGTAAGAGAACATATGGTATGGGAGGCTTCCATTAGTTGCCACCGAACGCGTCGTAACAACAATCACGACATACGGTGTTTGGCAGTTCTCGGCCCTCGGGGACCCTTGCCAGGCTCGGGACCGTCAAACGGGGAATGCTCGGGAAGATGCACATGTTTACTGTCCAGCAGCCTAGTGCTTCTTAGGTCGGGTGTGAGCCCATCGGGCTCCGGAATCGGTGGCCAGTGGTCCGTGGTCTTCCGTATGGTCCCTCGCATGGCCATCCGCTGTGTCTCCTGCGTGCCCTCTTGCGTGCTCTCCCGTATTGCCCCCCCTGTATGCTGTCCCGTATGTTCTTCCGTACGTGTTCCTGCGTGGTCTCCCGTACGCTATCACGTATGTGCTCCCGTATGTCCCCCCCGCATGTTCCCCCCGTATGCTCTCCCGTATGCTCCCCCCGTAGGGTCGTCCGTGTGGTCTACCGTATGCTCTCCCGTATGTGCTTCAGTCTGTCTTCCCACATAATCTCCCGCATGATCGGCCGCATGCTATCCGTCATGGTTTCCCACACGTTTTTCCGTATTTCCCCGTCTGCTCTCCCGTATGTTCGTCCGTATCATCTCTTGTATGTTCTTCCGTCTGGTTTCCCGTCTGCTCTCCCGAATGGTAATCCGTTCAGTGCCGTTTTTAATACATGCTCCGCGTGCGGATCATGTGTTAAAAATGCAGGGATTTAGTATTAGAAACAACGATGAGTTCGTGCACACATTTATTCTGAAATTAATCATGTATTCAAATTCCGATATGTTTAAACATCCCATGTATTAAAAATTGCCCTGTATGCTGTCCCGTACTTTCTCTTGCATGCTCTTCCGCAGGGCTTATTTTCTCGTGCCCCGCCTGGTATCCCGCATGGTCTCCCCATACGCTCTCCCGCGTGCGCTCTCTCGCATGTTTGCCGCCCTTCTGCTCTCCCGCATGGGGTCTACGAGCTGGTGTCCCGTGTGTTGTCCCGTACGCTCTCCCGCCGGGTCTCCCGTCGGTGTTCCCGTACATGTTGTTCCGCATGTTTTTTTTTCCGTACGGTGTGCCGCATGTTCTCCCACATTTTCTTGATGCTGCTCTCCCGTATCCTCTCCCGCATGTTCGCCCGTACATGTTCCCGCATGCTCATACCTATGTTCTCTCTCTCTCTCTCTTTCTCTCTCTCTCTCTCTTTTATGCTTTCCGAATGATCATCCGCATGCCCTCCCGCATGTTCTCCCTTCTGATCTTCCGTATGTTAGCCCGTGCGTTCTCCCGCATGGCCTCCCGCACGTTTTCGTTTCCGCATGGCCTCCCGTATAATCTCGTGTATGGCCCCCTGGATGTTCTCCCGATGGCTCTCTTGTAGGTTGTCCAGTCTGTTATCCTGTGTTACCTCCCGTGTGTTCTCCCGTACGGCCTCCCTTACGTTATCCCGCGTGGTCTCCCGTAAGGTCTCCCGCGCGTTCTCCCGGCATTCCCTCCCGTCTGGTCTCCTGCATGCTGGTCTCCCTCTGCGCTCTCCCGCAGTGCACTCCCTCGTGTGCTTGCCCGTCCCGCCCTCCCGCATTGCAGCTCCCCGCGAGCTCCCGCACGCTTCCCGCAGGAGCGGCCCCCGCACGGCTCCCCGCACGCCCTCTGGCAGCCTCTCCCGCAACGCTCTCCCCCCTCCCTGTCCCGCACGCTCCCCCCCGTGCGTGTTGCCCCGTGTGCCTCTTCCCGTGCGTGCTCTCCGCGCATGTGTTCTCCCTCGTGCTCTGCCGCGCTTCCTCTTGGCTTTCTCCGCGTTGCCGGCCAGACGCACAGCACAGTGGGGGCCCAAAGAATATACACCACCACCACCACGTCGATTCCTCCTCTCTTCTCTTTCCAGCGAGAGGGAGGGGGGGAGGGAGGTGGTGGTGGTGTATATTTTTGGGCCCCCTACACAGTGTCCGGCTCTCTGGACTGTCGAAGCATGCAGTTCGGGCTCTTCGGCCGCCAGGGTGCTTCCAGGGCCTCACTGGGAGGGCTCTCGCCGCCGCGACCGGATCGCGCTTGGGATGTGGGCCATTGGGAATGTTCGCAGGCGAATGTTCTCCCCCAATCCCCGAGTTCCGCCCGAAAGGTTTGGCCGCTCAGGAAAACGGGGAAACCTGAGATTCACCCCAAGGCGGCTATTCGGACGCACCCGTATCGAGGATGGACGCCCACCCATCGTGTATCCAGGGTTGGGCCCCCCAATTTTGGTCCAGTCGAAAACCCTACGAAGCCTGGGAGAAGGGTCGATCTATCCCCTGTTAAATGCTGTTCGTGCCCCGCAGGGTGGCGGCAGGCTCTGTTGGCGTCGTTGTTTCGGCCTCGGGAGCCCAGCTGGCGCGGCCGTTCCAGACGAGGTCGACGCCGGCGCTTGGCCGCATTGGGGTGGGGGTGGCGGTCTTACGCAAGTGGTACCGCAGTATTCCATCGTAGTTGTCGCCCCCCCTGCTCGTCCTCGGCACTCAGAGGAGGGAAAACCGCTACCCTTCCCTCGTTATCCCCTTCTTTGGCCTCCTGGGAGGCCCTCGTTGCCACCGCTGTATTCGCTTCGAAATTCTGGTCAGGCTGCACTGGGCTGGAGCTGCCTTCCCAGCACGAGTGGTACGATAGTGCTATGGCTCGTACGGTCGGGCCGAGGTCTAAGATCGAGGTCGGTTCGGGGAGGGTGCCCACGTGTTCTTCGTGCTTGTTGGGTGTTCTTGTGCATTCTGGGGGAGGGTACCCTCCAGAGATCTGATATGGTGGTTTGGGTTTTTGTTGCCTGGCGGAGCGTCTCGTGTTCGTGAAGGATGCGATTCTGTCCCAGGTCCCGCCGTAGACAAGTGGAACTGTAGCTGTGGCCCCACAGCTCGTCCTCGTCACTCCTCCTCCTCCTCCTCCGTAGCCGTTTTGGCTGAGGTCGCGGGCCGCTTGGGGGGGCGCCGCCGAAGCCCGCCCATCTGCTTGTTTGTTTCGGGCGACGAGATCTATACGCATCCGCTGCTCCCTGGCCAGGCACATCCTGCAACCAGGAGCCGGGTATACGCCCTCCTGGCCAGGAGCTGTGTATACGCCCTCCTGGCCAAGCCAAGAGGGCGTGGCGAATACACCGCTGCTGGGTTCAGGCTGGGCCTGGCCAGGGAGCAGCGGATGTGTATAGTTCTCTCCGCCCCCTCTTGTTGCGGTCGAGGCCATGGCGGCGGTCGCCGCCGCCGGCATGGCCCCGCAGACGCTGGCGCGCCCGGGCAGCGGCCTCCTCCCTGCCGGCACCACGCCGCTGGGCTACGCGGCGGTGGCCCCTGTGCGCTACGCGGCCGAGCCGCGCAGGGGGCCGCAGCTCTCCGCGCCCGAGCTCTGGCCGCAGCCCTCGCCCCCGCAGGCCGCCCCGCAGCGGGGCGCCCCGCAGCGGGGCGCCCCGCCGCCCGCGGCGCTGCAGCCGCAGCAGCGGCGGCCGCCGCCGCAGCAGCTGCGGCCTGCGCTGCAGGAGCCGGCCGGGCCGCCGCGAGCGCTCCCCGCCAGCGGCGCCGCCACGGCGGGAGGGGCCGCCGACGCGGGGGAGGAGCCGCCACGGAGAGGAGGGGTCCCGAGGGACGCCTCGGCATCGTTCGGGCGTGTTTTTTTTGGGAGGGGGGAGGACCATGGGAGGAGAATCCTGGATCATCAGCAGCGCTACTGCGGAGCATCCTGGATCATCTTGCCAAAACCACGCACGGAACCGAACGATGCACGGACAATGGACGTCCGAGCGATGGCGACACGCGGGCCACGATTTCTGTCTGGCCTGACCCCCAGACGAGGACAAGGTACCGTACGGACACCGCCATCCGCGGCCTCGTTCGCACCTTTTGGAGCCTCCTGGGTGCCCTCGTCGCCGCCGCTGGAGTCGCCCCGAACTTTTATTCGGAACGCACCCTGGGCGAAGTTCGAGCAGCAGTGCAGGCCCCCAGATCTCCGACGCTGCTGGACGCTGCTGCCTCTGCAGCCCAGGCGCTTTCCCTCGGTTTGTGCCCCCGCGGCCCGCTCTCGGGCCCACAGGGGGCCACCAGAGGTGGGAGCCTGGGCGCGGCGCTGCCCCCCCCCCCAGGGGAAAGAGGCCGGGGCCTCTGCAGCCGGCTGCGCGCGGGCCTGTGCATCACCGCCGTCTTTGCCGCCGTCGTCGTCGTCGTCGTCGACGTTGTCGTTGTCCCCGCCGTCGTCGTAGTCGTCGCCGCCGCCGGCGTCGTCGTCCTCGCCGTCGTCGACGCCGTCGCCGCCGCCGCCGCCGCCGCCGCCGTCGTCGTCGTCGTCGTCGTCGTCGTCGTCGTCGTCGTCGTCCTCGTCGCCAAAGAGCGGCCTCGAGTTTGGTGCGCGGCCTCCTGTGGGCGCGCGGGGCCCGAGCGCCCAGGCACGCAGGCCGCTGCTGTCTGGGCATCGCTCGGGCGTGCGCGCATCTCGTCTCGGCGAGGGCCCTCGAGGCGCACCTCGGAGCATCCTGGGGGAACTCCGAGGAGGAGAGGGTGCCCATACCTCTACCCCTCCCTCGTGTTCCCCTTTTTCTGGGCCTCCTTGGCAGCCCTCGCCGCCGCCGCTGGACTCGCTTCGAACTCCTGGTCAGGACGCGCCCCGGGAGAGGTCTGGGGAGCAGCGGCATCGGTACCCTTGGGTTCCCCCAGGAACAGGGGACGCACGAAGCCGACAGAGGCACGGGGCATGGCCGTCCGAGCGAGGGCAGGCGCGGGCGGGCGTCCACGGAGGGGGCGCCGGCCCCTGCTGGGGCAGCACCGGCGGTTTCCGGGCCCGCCTCCCGCAGAGGACGCAGTCTCCCTCCCGGCCGAGAGTGCGGCGGAGGAGGCGGCCGGCGACGAGTCGGAGGCCCAGTGCACCTACAACGCGGAGCGGGTCATCGGCAGCGGCACGTTTGGTATTGGGCGGCCTTCGGTTCATCTCGCCGCCGCACCTGGGTGGTGGACAGGGGTCCTCTCGGGTGTCCCTGGGGGTCTCTCGGAACGCCCCCTGGGAACGTCCTGGGGCCTCGTGGGCGCTTCTTGGGGCTCTCTTGGTGGCAGCGTTGGGGGTGCTCTTGGGAGGCCTCTTGGGAATTCATGGGGCGTCTTAGGGGCCTCTGGGGCTTTCTTATACTTTCCTCATTGCCCATCTTGTGGCCGTCTTGGGGCCCTCTTCGCCTCCTGGGCCGTCTTTGGGGCCTCTTGGGCCGTGTTGTGGTCGTCTTAGGGCCATTTTGGTGACTTGGTGGCCTCTTGCGCCGTCTTGGCCGTTCGAAAACGTGAGAGCGCTAAAATCATTCAGACATATATGGACAGTCCATGGTGTTTTCCTCTTGGGGCCCTGTCAGGGCGTCTTGGGAGCCTCTTGGGACGTCTTTCTGCTCTCCACGGCCGTCTTGGGGCTCTCTGGGGCTCTCTGGGGCCCTGTTTGACCGTCTCGGGGCCATCTTGGGGCCTTCTTTGGGTATTTTGGTGCTCTCTGGTTTCAGGGGAAGCCATGCGACAAGCACCAGGAGTCATGCGCCACGCCCCAAGAAACTTGAGAGCTGGGGTCGGGGCCCCTTAAGGAGCATTCGACGCATTACATTGGGGGATCGAAGGTGTCTGATGACACTCCACTCGGTGCTTCGCGGCACGGTGACGGATCGTCTACTCCGCGCACGTAGTCGAGACGGACGACACCGTTGCGATTAAGAAGGTGTTCGTGGACCGCCGCTACCGCAGCAGGGAGCTGCAGGTGTGGGAGAAGATGCGGCATCCCAACATAGTGACTCTGAAGCACGCCTTCTACACCTCCGGGGAGTCCCCCGACGAGCTCTACCTGAACATGGTCATGGAGTACGTCCCGGAGACGGTCTACTGCGTGATGAAGCGACACGGCAGGCAGAATGGGACAGTTTCGGACTGCACACAATCAGCCCCTCTAGCGAGTTCGGGCAGGCCTCCACGGATCTCCCGCGTAGTCCCAGCTGGCCTCAACAGGGCCACCGAGTAGACCGGGGTGGTCTCGACATCAGAAGGCCGGAAGGCATTTGAGAAGCCCCGGCGCCTTCTGAGAGGTTTTTGTGTCTTTGTCGTTTCCCCCCCTTGCTCCCCGCTAGTCAACGAGCTGCGAAAAACAAGGGGGAGGAGGAGGATGATGATGATGATGATGATGAGGAGGAGGAGGAAGAAGAAGACGGGGGATGGACACCCTCAGCCTCCTCATCAACCTCTTTTCTGCTGACCCTGCCCGGACAATCTTGGCCTCCTCCCCCGCGAACCCGAACTTGATTGTCCCCCCTGTGATTATCTGGGGTCCTCTGTTGCCCCTCATCCCTCCTTCCTCCTCCTCCTCCTCCTCCTCCTCCTCCTCCTTCCTCCTCTCCTCTCCTCCTCCTCCTCCTCCTCCTCCTCCTCCTCCTCCTTCTCCTCCTCCTCCTCCTCCTCCTCCTCTCCTCCTCCCCTCCTCCTCCTCCTTCCTCCTCCTCCTCCTCCTCCTCCTCCTCCTCCTCCTCCTCCTCCTCCTCTTCCTCTTCCTCTCCTCCTCCTCCTCCTCCTCCTCCTCCTCCTCCTCCTCCTCCTCCTCCTCCTCCTCCTCCTCCTCTCCTCCTCCTCCTCCTCCTCCTCCTCCTCCTCCTCCTCCTCCTCCTCCTCCTCCTCCTCCTCCTCCTCCTCCTCCTCCTCCTCCTCCTCCTCCTCCTCCCCTCCTCCTCCTCCTCCTCCACCTCGCTCCCTCCTCCCCCCCCCTCCTCCTCCTCCCTCCTCCTCCTCCTCCTCCTCCTCCTCCTCCTCCTCCTCCTCCTCCTCCTCTCCTCCTCCTCCTCCTCCTCCTCCTCCTCCTCCTCCTCCTCCTCCTCCTCCTCCTCCTCCTCCTCCTCCTCCTCCTCCTCCTCCTCCTCCTCTCCTCCTCCTCCCCCACCTCGTTCCCTCCCCCCCCTCCTCCTCCCCCTCCTCCTCCCGTTGTTGCCAGTGGCCCAGGCAGAGCCTGCCGATGCCCCGCGTGCTCGTGCAGCTCTACACCTACCAGGCCTGCCGCGCCCTCGCCCACCTGCGGGCCTGCGGAGACCTGCGCGCCTGCGGGGGGGGGGAAGCCGGCGCCTCCAGCCTTCGCATTTAGGGGTAGCAGTCTCATATAGGAGTTTCAGTGGTTCCGTGTGTGTCGGCCACATGCTTGTTGTAGTTTTGTGCGTCTTCATGCTTGTAGTAGTACCGTGTGCTTGCCTGCCAATCACATACCCGGCGCAACGGCGCCCACCTGCGACGCTCACGCTGGCGACACTTGCAGGTCCGAGTCCGAGTCAAGCCTTAAATCGGGTGTGTCCCTCGACAGGAGAAATATTCAAAAATAGGAAGAAATAGTATTCTGAGTGTTTTTCTTATATTTTGGTTTATGTTTGAACATTTGTTTGACTAGGTTTTATTTTGCGGCCAAGATCC